TTGTCGTCTCGGTGGACGATAAGAGTTTGAGCTAGCATGAGCCTGTCTCATGCTAAAGTCTTCCTGTTCCGCGGCCGATATCGCCTCTTCAAGCGTATTCAGCTCAAGGCGGAACAGGTGGCTCCTGACGGGCCCTTCTGTGAGCCCTTGCATGAACACCGTAATCAACGTGTGTTCATGGACTGGGTTGGCAGTTATACTACTCGCGAGGAGTCGTATTTGTTGAGCGTAAGCGTGCACATCACGCTTACCCTGCTTTAGTTTCAGGAGCTCTGAACGAGCCCTGAACTCAGCCCGTGGCGGCTCAAACGTTTGTCTAAGCCGGTACTTGAAGTCATCTAGCGTCCTAAACACATTTGGGTCGCTACTCTCGATCCCCAGGGACCAAGTTTTGGCACGTCCTGCCAAGTGGGTTTGAGCAAATGTGAGTTTCATTTGCTCATCTCCGACGCGACGAGCCCTTAAGGCTCTGTCGAGTTCGACAAACCACAGTAACAGGGAGTCTTCCGGGACTCCACTGTATTTGGAAATGTCAACTTTCATGACTTCGGGACGACGCGCATGTGCCGTCCCGCCCACAGAAGCATGGAATTGCTGCTGTCTCAACAGCTCCGTCTGTTGAGCACCGAGTTCTCTCAACTGCTCGGCCTGTTGAGAGCCTTGCTGGTGAAGCAAGGCTACTTTCTCCCTTTCGGCGGCAAGTTCATTTTGAATGAACTTGGCTATAGCGGCATGTTGTTGGTCTCTGTCTAGAAACTCCAACATGGCGCTAACGACGAGTTCGCCTACGGTAGAACTCATTCGTTCTACCGCACTCCATTCGATGTCACTCAAATGGGTAAACCCTTCACGCGTGGCGTGAAAGGTCTCTTCATCATCCAACATGTTCATGTTGGATGCTGTGGTCCTTGGAAGGACTACAAAGGGCTACCAGGTGTAACGGGGCACACCCTTGCGTGAACTTAACGCAAGGGTTTTGGTGCCCCGACAGACGTACACGAGGCAAACGAGGAAGCGTAGATAAGGTAAAAGTAGAACTGTTATATTAATATAATTAAGTCTTTTAACTACTGTCTCTGTTTGACTTAACTTAATTATACTAATCTAACTGAGTGTATGACGACGTCTACTCACCACTCATTTGCGCGCGTCTTGCGGCGATTGGTGGGTTGATATCGTCAAGATATCAACCAATGAGCAGACTCTTTGGTCGACCCATCAATATCACCACTATTGGTGATATTGTTAAAAGAATATTCAACTTAATATTATTTATTGTCATTATCTCTCAAATGACAATTTCCATGTAACGGGCTGCGCCGTTACACCTGTGAGATCACTTGGACCCGACTAAAGGCACACGCGCGCTGAAGCATAAACTCTCGGCTAGTAAGCACGAGCAACGAGGTACATCTGGGAGGCACTAGTTGCTCTCTCGGGTGTGGCAATCCAACAATCTCATACGAAACCACACAGCAAAGATATAGACTGCTTCCTTGTTCCTAAGACGCTGTCACCGCACGGGTAAAGGACAGGAAACGGATTGGGTTGTTGACATGTAGTTATCTGTCGAAATCTCTTGTCCACTAAGCGTAAGACGCTGTGTTCCGAGGTGTGAAACAACGACACCACACAAAACATTAGCGTGAAAAGAGCAAGAGAGCGGTCACGTCGTAACCTGAGAAAGCGTCCTAGCGTTATTGGATGTGCTGTAGACTAGTGCGGTCGAGACGTTCGTCGGTATCGCTTCCATTGCTTCGTGTGGTGTTGCGCCGATCTCGCGCTCGTACGACCATGAAACACAGTAAACGATCTCCGCATCGCCTTGTTCTACGTCAATCGTGGCCTCGGTGCTGGTGCTGTAAATGCTTACGTTTGTCAAACACGAGCAACCAGAGCACCAATTGAATTCGTGGCATTCTACATTTAATTCCACACGCGGTCGAATGTCTCCTAACGAACGTGTCTAGTTGTATGCCGTGATGGCTTTCCACGTCAGAATACGCATCGGCCACTTCGTGTCTTACCACTTTATGTGGCAGGAGCGATCAAAATATCGCTTGCTCCGACATGAAAACTGAGCTTCAAAGCGAAACCTAGACTGCTATATCTGCCCTAGCACTTTGCAATCGTTCTGTCACATCAATTGTGGCGAGCGCAAACTGAAAAGATCAGCTACAGCTTCGCAGCTTCTTTCCGCACCCGCTGCAGAAGCAAGGCCAGACAACGGTAGTATCGGTTGTAACTCTTGCGCGATGATGTGACAAATGATGTAGCTGTCGAGCGAGGGACACACGTAGCTCTCTGTAAGCTGTCACCTTTGCTATACTGCAACGTTTTGCGCAAGCTGCTAAGCGCTATCCCTTGGAATCGTTTCGTTCGTAGCTCCACTTTTGCTACATCTACCACGCACAAGAGACATCCGGTAGTGTCCATTCAGGTCAAAGTACCAAGACCGTACTCTTAGCTTACTGCTTCCGTAGGTATATGCCAGGGGCGAAGGTGGTAATGAGGGCCTGTCCTTAGCGGAAACTTGCCCCCATTTGACATCTGCGACCTGCATGCGCACTCCAATGGGATCACCGGTCACACGTGCCCTTTGCAAGTGATCGGTACCCCACGTGATACTCAACGTCTCAAGCCAGGCGAATGGGCCCGCGGGAAGAGAACAGTCAGGTAAATGTAGGAGCTTAAGGCAGATTTCCACACAGCCATATCGGAATAGGCACCCGGTCTACCGTCGGACTCCCTCTCTCTTTTGCTTGTTGCTTGTCCGCGACGAACGACGCGGAAGGGCTTAGAAGCCAGGGCCCAGTGCGATGCTTCGTATGTACGATGGAAAGTCATCGAAGCCCTGCGCAACGTTTGCTCACGACACAGTATCGAGGTGGTACATACGGAGCGAGCGGACGTGCACGCACACGACCCATCGTCCTGGACAAAATGTACAGGTCCCTGCACCGTCGCAGCCTCACGATACGTCGCACAAAAAATCTACAGGCCACTGCACCGTCGCAGCCTCACGATACGTCGCACAAAAAATCTACAGGCCACTGCACCGTCGCAGCCTTACGATATGTTGCACAAAGTTTACGACCAGATGATAAAAATAGCCAGGCAGCTACATTTCACACGCTAACAATATGGCGATGGAATGTGCGCGTGCAAGCAGGTGGGATCGGTACAGTGCTCCCTCCGATGGATTGTTTTCCGCGAGGTATACCCTGTAGTGTATTTTTTATTAATGCGTCCGAAATTTTCTCGTTGCTTGCCCGCCGAGTTAGAAACTGAAGTAGTTGCCACAATAGGCATTAGAGTTAGAAACTGAAGTAGTTGCCACAATAGGCATTAGAGCCTTATCATTCAGATTCCTTCAAACCCGGGCTCGTTGTTGACTTGGCAGGATGCGTATCAAACAGTACCATTATAACGACCCGATTTGAAGGCAAAGAAAGCTACTCACTTACTTTCCCGCACAAAAAGTAACTTTCTGTGTCTGCAAATCGGGTCGTGATAACGGTACCAAATGCGTTGCAAATGTCAAGTTAGAGTCCACAGAGAACCATATTAGCAGTCTGATGGCCTCTGTGAGACACACGAGCATCGAGCAGGCATCACTCAGGACGTCGATCTTTTCGATACTAGAGAAAATTTCTGCAACGGTGCCACATTTCGATCCGCTCTTTGCGTCAGCTTCTGACTTGCAAACTCTTCCAGGATCTAGTCGAGGGTCAGCTTCGGCCAAGCAGTCTCATCCTCTTTGATGTGATCAGGATGCCCAACAGCGACGCGTGATTCCGGACACCCAACTGACTGAGTTTAGCTCCCAGCTCCTGCTTGGCTTTTGTCTACGCCTCCTCAGCTTCCTCATACCATGTTTGTTCCTGTCCATGATAGTCTGAGGGGCAGAAGACTTAAGTAACTTCTGCGTGGGCTTGATGACAATCGACAACGGCGGTCTATATCAGGTAGCCGCTACCAGCCCGCAAGTGTAAAAAGGTCGTCTAGTCTTGTTAGTGTCGTCGACCGTCCCACGCTCGTCACAATTGGTCGCCTTCGCAGATGGTTACGGCGTAGCACCGCTCGAATGCCGCGATGGTGTCAGCACCGAACGGCTGTATCGTGCTCGTCTATTTGATGCAAGAGGAATCAACCATGGCAAGATCAGTTCGTTCGGGATGCACGACGAAGCAGTGCAAGTTCAAGATTCTACGGTCGGGCCACTGCATCGCAAGAGCTTCCGTAAACAGTTCGGATATGTGGAAACAGCAAGAGACTAATACTTCACACCTTTGGCCATATGCAGGGACCTCCACTAGAGACCGAACATAGAGTCGTGTCAGAATTCTAAAGACCATGATTTTGGCCTGGCTCTTGGTGGTGTTCTGGGCGTTTGCACATGTTCGAGTCGAGATCATGGCCCTCTCTTGTTGTTTTCTACAGTCCGATTTTTCTAACTAAATGCTTGATTATTTTTTATTGTGTACAATGTACAATATTTTTCGATGGGAGTTAACCTCCACGAGATAATCGAAACCTCTGAACGCTGTTTCCATAATATATCGGAGGGGTCCCGGTACCAATCAGTGGCGCCGGCTCCAACGATTCTTGCTCGATTCGACGCTGCCGACCCTACGAAATAAGAGCTCCACTACCATCTGCTACCACTGCTCACAACATCGTTTTCGGTATGGATAGGCTTGCGCCCTGCGTAGACACGCATAATGTTGCTAAAAAGGACTGGTACGAACGAGCCGGTGCTAACATCGTCATAACGCGAGAGAAGAATTTGAGGTTCGACCACGGGCTGCTGGCTGACTGTCCATGATCACGACTATGTCAATCCCAGCACAGAGATAACAAGAGCTCTGTCCCTCCAGTCGGATCATCCGGCTCTTGTTCAGTGCATCGTCTACTCCAGTAGCAATAAGCGCGCTCCTGTTTGGTCACTTCGGAATTTGCCCACTTGCCCCAAAGGTCGACACCGGCACTAAAAGAACATGCGTCTCTACTATTTTGCCCTCGCGGGCTCCACCGCGCTCCTGACACAGACCGCAAACTTCTCTCGTGTGCGCGGCACGACGATGACGGAAGACACTCACGCGGCGAGCGTTCGCTCCCATGCCAGCGACTACAATGACGTCCCTATCAACGGGCAGTTGGAGGCATCCGGCAACGAGACCAACGAAGAGAGAGTGCCAACTCCAACGTTTCTGTCGACGGCCCTCGGATTGGGTCGACAAAGGATACCACCCCACAACGTGTTGGCGGTCGTCAAAATGAAAAAGAACCAGGAAAAGGCAGCTTCCTACCTGACGAAGGTTGTCAAGGCCCGACAAAGGGCCCATGGTCCTAAGTCGTCTGCCGCTAAACGAGCCCAAAAAAAATATTTCGATCGTTTACGGGCGCTCGGGGAAGAGGGCTTTGGGCACCCGTCGGTGGTCGGCATCATTCGAAATAGACTCGACAACATCTACAGCGAACCGATTGCCGTTGGATCCGATTTCGCGCATGCCAAAGCTTTCGCGAAACATCTGAGGGAAAAGAAAACTCCGCAGTTCGACGATTTTCTCCAGACAATCAACAAACGAGATCCCGCATGGCATGATAGCATGAGCGGTGTTGCTTTTCTGGGCGATAAGGCGCGGGCTGAAAAGCGTATGTTCGACCTCTTTCAAACCTATGTGCGAGATACCCAGAAAAAAGCGCTGGCGAATACTGCGGCGAATCGGGGTGCGTGGCTGGACGAGAGAATTTTGCCTAGCGAAGTCGCTAAGCGCCTTGACATCACAGGCGGTGGCGACCCCCTTCACAACCCCTTTATTTCTCCGAACTTTAAGGCGTTGAAGGAGTACATTAAGGCTTACAACAATCTAGATGACAGGCTGGAGGTGACAATGGATAATACGTTGATAGGAGCGTACGGCGGCGTGGAGAACCTCGCACCGGTATTAGCACTTTCGAAGCTCTACCCCAATACTAACGGAGCTGCGTCACGCATGCAACACAATCTGCTGGACAGATGGGCTCATAACACTGTGACATTTGATACTGCTGCGGAGAAACTGGGGATGAAAGCTTTGGGGAAACATGCTTTCACGTACCAGTATGCAGACACGTTGCTCGAATACATCGTGATGCTTGAAAGAATGGATGCGACTGCGACAACAAAAATCGCGGATGGTCTGGTCAAGCACTACGGCGAATCTGGTGCTGCAATCTTCATCACGCTGTTGCAGAAGCCGAATGATGACATTTTCAAAAAAATGTCAGACGAGATGTTCAAGCGCTGGAGCCGCAGAAATATTGAGCCCGACAATCTTACGGCCAAGATCTTCAGCAACGTGGATCCTCGTCTTAGAAGCGTAGCGGATTCGTTCACATCTCAGTATCGCGATTTTTACCGTACTGCACGCAGATACGAGATCAATTAAGGTGGAGCGTTTCCTCTTCACTAGTCACCTGCATTTGCCCGACATAACAATACATGACATCAATAACTTTGACCTTGCTTGCAAATGCTAAATGTTTGTGTTCATCAGAGACAAGTTGCATCGAACGAAAGCCTTGCAACCAGTGTTGTGGCACCGAATAACGTGTCGATCGGGATGTAAACGCACGACATGTAATTTGTAGTCAAGATCAAGCGATACGTACCCCCGCGATAAGCACGGATACCAATTCGTAGCTTGCACACACTAGCTTCCAGCTTTTGTGAGTCCAGGCATATTGGGTTCATCTGCTTAAAAACGTCTTCAGCAGCGGTACTCAAATTTGAGCAGGCTTTTCTGCGTCGTTCTGCATGCCTCTAGCTTTGTTACCTCCACTGGTCAAATGAAATGCGCAACGTTGCTGGCAAGTTGTGCACATGTCCATGGCATGTTGCATACATCATCGTCATGAGCTTAACACGCGCACCTCACTGCGTTTCGTGCGATATGCTCTACGCTTTTGTGTGGAAATACGCGTTCGGGCTTCGAGTCACATGGAGACAAGAATCTACATGAGGCAACCGTCACTGCAGCATTTGCACCCCATGTAGCCTTACCAAAACTCGTTCCAGTAGATTTTGTCGACGGTAAATACTGCACATTGCAATGGAGTCGACACTGCTAGATTTTGTTCACATTTCAAGCACCACACGCATGGACGCCGTTACATTGCATCGTCGTTCTCGTGACTGTATGCTTCCTACTCATAGTATCGCACAGGTTGTCACCCTCCGGTAAGTACATCACAGACGGCAGTAGAGCAGGGTGCGTCCGAGGTTTACAGGACCAGCAAAACAACAAACCCGAAGCACTTCTTTTGCGCGTGCAATCCTGCCTGGCTCGTCCGGCCATCCTGCACTCCTACTTCTTGTCCGCTTACGTGCCTCCTGTCCTGCGCCAGCACCACACTTACGTCCATGTGTCGCTCGTTTGTCAGTGTGTGTTCAACACAAAGCAATGACATAGTTGTCCGTATTGTATCATACGATCCCATTTTCGTGTAGATCAGCTTCGCCCAGCTACACAAAACACTCCGATAGTCCGCGCGAGAAGCTCCCAGCGTAGCCATTTGAAAGTGAGCGGTCTAATGACGAGAAGAATCGAGTGCCACTATCGTACCTGTCCGAAACACGCGCGAGCGCAGCGTACGCAGTCGCTTTTGCACAAGAGACCGACAGGAGACCGACACAACGCACGGGACGCGACCGCAGCGCAGTCCAATGGCGTCTCGGCCCGACAGGTTCGCACGCGACGAAGGAAGTCGATTCGCTGCCTCTTATTGGCTAAAACGCCCACCAATTACCGCCTAGTGGACAGGGCCAGTGGCACTCTCAAACAAGTTCCGCCGACTGCGTCGACGCTTCTGGTCCGTAGCGGCCCGACGCGCTCTTCCTGCACGGCGCCCGCATCCCCCGGCACGTCGTCCATGTCCTCACGCTCTAGTGATGATACCCCTCACCTCCACGAGCCGCTGGCGCCGCCCGTGAACTCGTTCGCGAACGCCAGCACGACGACCAAAGCCCTGACGCCTCACCGCCAGCTGGGCGAGCTGCTGCGCTCGATCGACCCCAAGTACTGCTTCCATCCCGCCGTCGAGGAGCTGTTGCTGGACATGGCGTCTGACTTTGTACAGGACGTGGTCGAGTTTTCGGGACAACTGGCGAAGCACCGGCGGTCGACGACCGTAGAGCCGCGGGACCTGCAGTTTTGTCTCGCCAAGAACTATGGCATCTCGCTCGCGGGTGTCCTGCCGACGGCAACTAGTGGCGCCAAGTCGGCCTCAGCACTGAGGCCATTGGGTCAGGACCTGCTCGTGCGGGCTCGACCAGCAAAGAGCTCGTTGCACATGCATCGAATGGCGCGAAAGCGCACCTCGGTGCTGCACACGAAAACGAAGCTCAAGACCGCGCAGGCAGTGAAAGCTACGGAAGGCAGCAGGAAGGTCGTGTGCAAGGCGAGTAGTGTCAGCAAGTAGCGAGGCGAGTTGCAGTTGCAAGATTTGGCGGCAAGTGATTGATTGGTTGGTGTTGCTAAGCCACAGGAATGACAGATGAGGGTTTTGCAGCTCGATCGATGGCGGTCGCTGGCGTGTGCTCACACGATTTCGCTGAGACTCGTCATGACATCCGTGTCCAGATCCAGTCGTGGCGTTTTCACTTGAGAAGCCAATGCATCCTCACAATTGACTGGCACAGCAGACGACACGGCACTCAGCACAGCCATGGACGAAGGAACGAAAGCTGAAGAAGCGGGACTCGTGATGCTTCCAGCACTGTGAGACCGCTTCCTGGACTTTGCACTTCGTGCAGATATGGCTGGAAGCAATGAGTGATCTTTGTGTAGGTCCCCGGCAATCGGGATCTCGATCCGAAGATTGCGGTGTACCTCCGCGTACGTCGCCGCTTTGTAGACTGGGTCGAAGCTATTTAGCAGCACCATCTCATTACCTAAGTGCAGCGACGCTGCGATCAGGTGGCAGCATGGCAACCCTAGCTGGAACACCTGCCCACACGTGCATGTCCGCAGCGCTATATCTATCCTGTACGTGATCTTTGGACGTGCACCCGTCAACCAAGCAAATGCAACTTGCTCGTCACATCTGCGCACAGTGTATGCTGCAGCTGCTTGCATTCCCTGGCGATACAATGTGTCGGCACCCGGTGTGAGCAACGAAGGCGATTGAACGTCGTTGGCGAGCAGCTTTGAGGCTAGCTGGCTTTTCTTGTAGGTACCGTCCATGAGGAAAGCCAAGAATGTGTACATGAGGTCAAAAGGAGCTTCGTCGCTGCGCCGAATGTCAGAGCCAACAATCGCCTCATCAGCGCTCGTGCTCGCCCAGCGGTAATGCTTAATGGATTGATTCATATAGTACGCCCAGTTTTTTGGGTGTACGGCTCGCAGAAACGCCGCAGCAGCAGCATTTAGCGTCTCGAGATCCCTGATGACATTCTGAAAAGCCTCCTCGCTTTCTTGTCGCTGCAGTTCCCACACCTTCTCTTCTAATGGCCCGAGCACAGGAATGTTCTTGTCACGTGCCATCTCCTCCAGCAGGCTCCGGACGCAAAACATGACTTTTGCATGGCGTGCGTCGTGCGACAAAGCTCGAAGGAGACCGTGTTCGGTATGCGAACAAAAGACGGGTCGTCCGTCGAAGTGGACATCCCCACGCTTGGCCATCGCGAGAAACCACTTCATGTTATCCATATCGCTTGTCGGCAACAATGCGAACGCCATAACTTGGTACGTGAAGTTGCCATCGCGCGTCACTAGCAAGGCCATACAGCCCTGATAACTCACGGTGTCGTAACGCAGTACGTGAATGCCGAAAATTTGCTGCTGGGATGCCAAGACCATTCTAGACGTGTTCGGCAAGAAGAATGCTCGAATGAAGTGACCGTGTGGGCTCTTCTCGTAATTAGCAATCGAGCCGGGGTTCTTCTTGACAAACGACTCGATCAGACTCGGAATGTACTTATAGCTTTCGGTGAGATCATCCGTGGATGTTGCGACTACCAGTCGTTGGGCGCGGTAAGCCATGCCACGCGGAATATGGATGCCCGACTCGGAGTGCATCAAGAAATTGTCGGTTAGCAGTTTGCCTGATGACTTTGAATGTGTGATCACAGCTTGGCGAAAGAAACGCATTTCGGCCAGCTGCCGAGCAGTGGGCTTCGGTGCCCCCGCGCACTTATCCGAGTGTTTCAAGTTCATAGCAGATATCTTCCAGTTCTTAGACTTCCACCCTTTCACCAGCTGCACGAACCAAAGGCACTGTTCGTCAGAACATACATACTTCTTGTTGCTGCCGCCATTGTTGCGCTTGCACAGCTTCGAGCGTTTGCGCTGCACCACTAGTGAAAAATCACTGATTGCTTTCGTGGCTTCCTTGCCTGTGCTCCATCGCATTTCATGCGTCAACTGATACCTCGACATATCGTCAACCAACAACGACGAGCTCAATGGCGTGCCGCCAGTTGAAAACGCCATCAAGTCCGCGGAAAGGGCAGCTTTAGCACTTGTTCCCGTTGCAGCAGGCACACCCTTCGTGCGTGCATTGAAATTACACGTCTCCACGCACTCCTTCGAGTGCAGTAAGCTCATGGATAACACTGTGTAGCGTTCGGATCCATCCGACGACTCGTCGAGCACCACTTTCCACCCACAATTCGAATTACGATGGTTCTGACACACGACGCGACGTGCCATCACACTCGTTCCCCGCCACGACATTGCCGCGGTCTTTTCTGCAATCGCTCGACGTCCCATCTGACCTGCAAGTGCACGAACAGCTCCGATCGCCTCTTTCCAGCCCACCAACACCATGCCCACGTAGACGGACGCCCCCATGACAGCTGCGGTAGCCTCTTCGTCTGCACTTGTCGCACTCGTAGCCCCCGACAGTGCTGTTGCAGTGCCTTGCTCATCACCGGCAAGCGCCTGCACGTTCTCGAGCCCCTGGTCCAACCTGACGGGCGCATCCAAGCGCCCAGCCACGTCGTTCTTGGCCGCCACGACTGCCTGCTTCGGTTCGAGACAGAGCGTCTTGTGGTGGTCCACGTTCATGCTCGAGATCTTCCACTTCTGCTCACCTTTCACGAACAACAGCCGCACAAACCACTTGCACGTGGGCGCGTTCGCACACTCGAGGACGACAGTATTCGAGGCCGTGGACAACGCGGCCAGTGCAGCTGTGGACGTGGCGGCAGGCGCAGGCCCCAACTTGGTCGGCCATGACGAGACACCCGACACGGGCGCGTCGCGCGTCGGCTGGCGCTGCTGGACACGCACGTGGCGCTGCTGCGTGTGCGCGGCAAAGTGCTCGACAGCAGCGACCGCGTCGGCGATCGTGGCGAACCGCTCGTCCTTGCGCGGCGCGTCAAAAGCCGACATGGACGAGTTTTATTCCCCGGTCGGCCGACGCGACGAGTTACAAAAGGCGTCAGGAGGTGTTTTTTTCAGAGGACGGGCAGGAGGATCCAGTGGCCCGACTCCCTCGGTCGATGGACACGTTCGTTCGTGCGGCGGACACCCTCGTTCGACTGACACGCGCGCGCCAACGGAACGATCGAGTCAATTATGAAGCGGGGCCGACGAGTCTGTGCATTCTGCTGCAACGCGGCGCCGTTTCGAAGAAGGAGTCAGATTGTCTACGAGGTACATTGCATTGCATGCAGGCGGGCCGGGAATGTACTGCGTGTGAGGTTCAGCTTGACGTAGGACTGACTGTGTTGCCGTGTGGCAACGTTAGGATGCCAGGGTCTATGCCATGTTGGACCAGAACCCGCGGGCTACGAAGCACGTACTGGTGATACCGCACGAGCACATTGCGTCCGTGGATGACGTGACACCGGAACACTTGGATCTGTGTAGGTAGAACCTGTCGTTAGTCTGTTGTTGGGGGTGGGGTGGGGGGTACTATTGCACTGGATGATCGCGTGGTTCGTTGCTCTTGTTGACACAAGTGGAGCACATGTTCACGACGGGTAAAGACGTCCTGGCACGAGATGGCTTCACGGACGCGACAAACTGCCGGTACGTTGTATTGCATCGTGTCAAGTTGTTTCGATCATTGCTGTTGCTTTCGCGACTTTGTGAGGTCATGGGATTGAGAATGCTCATGTCGTGGTGCGGCCATCGTGGTCGATCTCTTCAGATTTGGGTTCCACCGCTACCCATTCACTTCTGTTTCGCATCTGCACCTGCACTGCTTGGGTCTGCCTTTCGTCCCAGCATGGAATTGCGTGAGGTACACCGAGTCCGTGCTTTCATCGTTCGTTAGCGCTGAGAGTACCGTCGCCGCTCTTCGGGCGAAGCGAGAGACCATGCGCTCCTCGGACGACTAGGTCGCTGGAGCCGACACCAAAGGGTAAATAGAACAACGCATGACATTACAGCCACCTCTCGAGGCTACAGATGCACGCATGCATATAGCATACGCGCGTGCATTTCTACTCGTACGAGCCAGACTCAATGTATTTGAACTGCTGGCTCTGCGTGCTCTGCGGCTTGGACTTGACCACGTACTTGTTGACGCGGATAGCCTTGAGCAGCCCGTCCGACATGTCGTTAAATGTCTCTTCCAAGCCCTCAACCGCATCATTGTGAGCGGCCACCAGCTTCTGCAGCGCTTCCGCATTCTTCTCGCGCGCTTTGTCGGCCACAAGCTGCCGTTCTTCCTCCTCCATCTCCGGATCCTCCCGCGTCCTCAGCAACAGCGGAATGTCTGCAGGATTCGGCGTCGACATTCTCGGCACGCACGCAAAGTGCTGCACGAGGTCAGGAATCTCCTCGTTCATGTTCTCCAGCTGCTTGGCAATCACCATGTACTGACTCAGCAGCTCTGGCCTAAGCGAGCACACAATCGATAAGACCATCAGGCTTCTAACACGAAAAACGTCCTGCCCACTCAACGCTGACGTGTACGTACCAGGTACTCGCTGGGTTCCATGCCAAGTTGTGCTCCAGACGAGCGACTGTATGGCGCAAGTGATCAGCACGCGCTCGGATACTGCTCAGAGCGCGGTCCACGTCGCCGCCTGCACCTCCCGACGACTGCATGCCAAACACGACCGTGCTCACTGGTTGCGTGTCCACACCATCTCCACACCATCTCCACACCAACCTCTCGTTTCAAACCTAACAGCGTTACGTTCGAAATCTAAAGGCGAGCTCGGTAAATTACGAGACCGTTTTGCGCTTCAACTTGATGGCGGACACGGCGCGCGCACTGAAGCGGCCGAAACGCGCGACGACGGACGCGCGTCACGCCGATGCGGTCCCGTCTACTGATGAACGCATTGGAGAACTCGGTTTCTACCTCTCTCCGCTCCAGCCCGCGCTAGCGACTCACAACGGTGCGAAACGAGCGATTCGTTAACGCGTCTCTGTCTCTCTCTTTTGCGACTTCGTCTGCTTAGCCTCTTTGTCTCTTGTGATTCTTCTGATGCTACCAGTGCACGCCAAGAGCCTAAAAAACCTCCTGGAGGGACCGTTCTTTCAGTGCCTGCTGACCAATTACATGTTTGACCTGCCGTGGCTCTTCTCCGAGTGTCCGCGACTGAGGCAAGTGCCCGTGCTGCTGGTGCACGGCGAGAGAGATCGACATGGGTACGTCCACGTCTTTCGTGCGTGCTGCTAGTGCTGGTTTGGATTGGCTTGAGGCGGTGGGTTTCTCACATGTTGCTGCTCGTTGCTTTGCTTCTTTCTGGTTGAGCTGTCGTGTAGAATGATGAAAGAATGTCGCGAGTATACCAACGTAACGCCTGTGGCTCCACCGTTGCCGATCCCGTACGGCACGCACCATACCAAGATGATCGTGGCGCTGTACGCGGAGAAGGTGCGGGTCGCGATCTTTACTGCCAACTTTTTACCAGACGACTGGCACTCCAAGACGCAGGGGGTGTGGTACCAGGATTTTGGTCTGAAGGTGATTGGGGATTGTAACGATGAAGAGGAGGAGGAACGAGCTGGTGTGAAAAACGCTGGTGGTGCTGATTTTGGGGACAACTTGGTCCATTATTTATCGTCTCTTGGCGGGCACGTTCGTTTGTTTTGCAACGAACTGCGGCGCTTTGATTTCTCGACAGCGACGGTGGCATTGGTCCCGTCAGTACCAGGAGTGCACAAAGGCAAAGGTAGTGCGATGGATGCAGATATTAATTTGATTTGGCTAGGTGCCTAAATGGTGTGTCCTGGTGTCTGCTCAACAGACATGGAGAAGTACGGGCATCTCCGCGTGCGCAAGTATGTTTGCACTCATTTGCATTGAGCAAAAGACCGTATCTCATTGCGTTTTTTTCATTTTGCTTACTGTAGTCTACTGAAGATGTACAAAGTTCCTCAGACAGACAACCCGTTAGTTTGTCAGGTACGTCCACCCGATGTATCGTTTGTCACGGCTGCAGCACTTACGCTCGTGGATCCTTTTAGTTTTCAAGCCTAGGCTCTGTTGACGAAAAGTGGCTCTTCGGAGAGTTTGCAGAAAGCTTTTTGCCAGGGAAGAAGAATGTATCCCCGACGTCCATGCCTGTTCAAGCACTTCATATAATTTGGCCTTCAGTTAAGGATGTGGTACGATATAGCATACGAACACTAGATACATCTGGCTGTCTAAGTTGTATCGTTTTGATACTCGCAGCAAAATTCACTTGAAGGATGGAAAGCAGGACGATCCATTCCGTGCCCGCTCAAAAACATGAAACCTTTTTTGCACAAGTACCTTCGAAAATGGTCTCCACCGCCAGCTTTTCACCGGCAAAATGCGATGCCGCACATCAAGTCGTACGCTCGATTCAATCCAAGCGAAGAAGAATCTGGAGAGCTGGATTGGGCTATCTTGACCAGCTCGAACTTGAGTAAAGCTGCGTGGGGCACGCTCCAGAAGAACAAGACGCAGTTCATGATCCGGTCGTATGAGCTCGGCGTGATGTTCCTACCACCGATTATAGGGCGCCTAAACTGCGATGAAGCGCGGCCACGTCTTGTCACGATGGGCAGTAGGGCTGCTGCTGCTACTGCAGTGTGGGGGAACTCATCTACGAAGTTGATGACACTGCCGTACGACTTCCCGTTGATTTCCTATGATCCGAGAAATGACGAGCCATGGGTCTGGGACCTTGTGCGAGAGAGCCCAGATATCTTTGGAAATGTCTACATGCCGCGCTAGGGTTTGATCGACGCAGGAGGTTACTGCAACGCGAGCAAGAAGGAAGGCGACAACGTGTGTTCGTTTTACTTTGGTAGTCATCGACCACCGAGTCTCCATCGATCAACTTCGAGTGAATCTGAACCAGGATTCTACCGGCTTCAGTCACTGGAGGTAAGCTTACGCTTGTTTGTAACAAGCAGGTAGCATGCAAAGGTGACTAAAAACCTGGTTACGGTTTCAGATCTGGTTTTCTGTCGTTTTCGCTACACTAAACAAGTGGAAACGGCCGACCGGTAATTGACGACAGCGATTCAGCCAAGGTAGACAGAGGCGCCAAGGTGTCAGGTAGGAAAAGCGTGCTGGTGTGTATGCACACGTTCTGTGCGACGCATTCTTCGAAAGCATGGATGCTGGTAATGAGTGCCTACAAGCTGCTCGGCAACCTCTGCGCGCTCTCGTGTTCCCACCTCATGATGCAATATCGGTGAATGCAGCTCAAGCGTCGATGACATTGTAGCAAGAGTCATGGCTGCAAGTCGTCGCATTGACGATTGCCCTTGCTCATGTCCAAGAACAAGTTCTACTGCGTCCACGACCGCTTTGTATGCTCGAATGTACAGACTTGCTGCTGTTTTATCGCACGGATGCTGGATCAACACGAGACAGTGAAGCTGGAGACCTCAAGTGTGTATCTTGCAGTGACTGAATAGCTGCTTGTGTTCTTGTAAAGACGAGGTAGCATACAAAGAGTGTTTATTGCAGTTGGTTGCTGGTCAATGAACAAGTCGGGTCTATGTGGATCAACACCTGAGAGAGTAGGACGACACCTTCCGGTGACGTCCAAACGGGGTTGGCCACCACGAACTAAGAGGCTGCATGGTCCAGTCAGAAGGCTTATCTGAGCTCGAGTCGATACCTGGACCTGTTTCGGCTGCCGGATGCTTACTTGGGCTACTGGCAAGCGTTGACACGTAGACAGGCGCCGGAGTAGAGCGTACTTGGCTACTCCCAAGTGACGTTGCTGCTGTTAGTGCCATGTCTTCTGCCACTATGCTCTCCTCGGGCATTGTCATGACGTCAATGGGTCTCAGAAATCGGTTCGCAGCGTTCACGACTTGCAACGACTGCATTAGTTCCACATTAGACTGCTTCAGTTCTGCTTCGTTGTGGTCAGTGGAAGGTCCAAAGACATGACGATTCCAGTTGAGCAGCTTCAAGGACCATTTCTTGACCAGGTCGCCGTTTGCTGCAAAAAACACAGTGTGGTAGTTTCCACATATCACGCCCTGAGGTGATGGACTCGTCGTCGGGGACGCGCACAGTGCTGTCGAAGTCACCTGAGTGGCTGTGGTGGTAGTGGTACATCGATCGTCGTCATCGATGCTGTCCGATCTCAACGAATTATTGACAGGTTGTTGCGATGGATGGACGGTAACGACTTGCGCTTTGATCTCGAATATGTTGAGCGAGTACATGACATTGACCTCGATACGATGAGCGGTTAACTGGAGACTTTCAACCGGCTCGCGGACGCTGTTTGGTGTGTCGTAGCCGCGCAAATACCCTTCTTCAAGTACATAGTAGAGCGCTCGCGAGGAGACGGATCTGCTGGCATCAGCTCTCGAAGTCTGTGGCCCGTCAGGATACGTGTCGGGAAAGCAGGCTTCCAGTGGTACGCGAATCAAGAACCCCTCCATGCGTTAGAAGGAGAGAAGAGTGAGTAAAGGCGCGAGAATGCGTGCAAATCCTTTTCCTTTCGCCGCAAGTTAGGAGAGTAAGTTGGAGAATGAACGAGGCTGCCTCCCCATTATATCCTCACACGCCATCTAACGGATACGACAGAACGTTTCGTAGTTGTAGCGAACAAAGTGACGGCTGAAAAACTATAGAGCGAAGAACGCGGACGCCTGTAGCATAAAGGCCGTCGCTGGAAAAACGCGGTCTGGACTTTCCGAAACCATTTCAACACCCGGTTCTTCGAGTCTGCTCGACTCAAAACCAACTTGCAATGGAATAGACACTCGTTGCCCATTCCAGCTGTCGACATGCGCCTGTGTGTGTGGGCTTGTCCAAGTGGAAGACAGTGGCGTGGGGAGGGCAAGTATGCTATCCACGTCTCACTTCAGGAAAAAAGTTATAAGAAACTGTGCGTTAATAAGACGTGCGGCAGTACCACCATCTATCGTCGTGGGACGCTACTTGCAGAATCACGTGCACGACGCTGCAACAGTCTTTTGTTCGTACCACGCTCTTGGCCGAATCGTCACGACAGCTGATCGATTACCACAGTGTCGACTCGCACTATCACTTTTGTGCTTTGAGACGCCAGCACTCTCCAGACACTGTAATAAACCAGCGTCGACGGTCGTGCGTAGTTGAGATCGCCGTCAAGGAAGTTGAATCCACCGCAGCAGTGCTTTCGATGCATGTAGTTAGTACCCTTCCCCGTCAAATTAGCCCAGCGACGTGAACACTCTCGTTTAACTGCTGCAGCGGTTATCCCGCGTAGCGAAAGTACGTGTTGACCGTGTTTGGGTTACTCAAGTACAGACTTTCGCCGGTAGCGTAAAGTCATCTCGTCATCGAGTTGGTGGTGGTGCGAGGCTAACTATGGTATGACTCGCTCATGCGCGAATGAGCATGTACCTGTCCCACCTCACACATGTACAAGACTAGCATCTGTTGTTCTCGTCGATATGCTTTGCATCTGCTGATAGAAGCAAATGGCGTTTGCTACCTGCTTACGTGTCGTGCCCACGTCGGGGATTCGTGTTGTCCATATCGAATAGAGAAGGTTTCATCGGTTTCTTACGCAGGAGCAGTAGCAAACTACCAGTAAACGACCTACGAACAGCTGGCCTTCCGAGTTGTGCTGCCTTTGAACACTTGCCAGCCTTCAGGTAGTAGAAAAATGGCGTGTTGTGTGCGACTGACAGCGTGTGCGACTGACAGTGCATTCTGTGGAGATTGTAAATGACGTAAAAACTTGAACACGACACGGTGGAGTCAAATGAAGAGAATGTATATCGTTGAGCTGCTCGCTTGCATGTTTTCCTGTTCATGAAGATGAAGCCTGCGATATGTTTGCAATGGCCATTTTCGTAGATGGAAATCTTTTGATTGTCCACGCGATAGATCATTGACACCTTTGGAACTTTTCTTTCCTTCTGCTATTTCTGCATGCATGCACTTTGTCCCTCATGGGAGCAGTGGTAGCTTCACAATGATCGTGTCTTTTGATCAACTGAATAGCCAACCGCTAGTTCTTTCTTCGCACTTCTTGGCGTCAGCACTGGCGGGTAATCGCTCGATCAGACATCGTGTAGTCAGTTGTATTATTTGCTGTACACGGTACAATTTGTACTCTTGGATTTGAGCAAGCCAGTTGTCAGGTTGTTGTCTGTGTCTACAAAGTGGGGCAATGGGCATCGACAGGTACATTCTCACATTCATGGCAAACGACAAGTACATGTGCAGAAAGCCTGCAATCAACGTGTTCTTCACGCCAAAAGCTATAGCTTCATCCAACAAGCTCAATGCAAATAAAGTGCCTATTCCAAGGAACAGGCAAGCAAACCCCGATTCAATGGGACGCTTGTTCCCATCCGATATATTATAGAAGGCAGGCGCTCGGTTCGGCATAAAATGGCTCCGAAAACTGCAGCACTAATACCTACGATCTCACAATCTCTTGTTATATCGAATCGACGATCAATGGGGTCTTGAGCGGTTGAACACGAGCGTCATTTGTCACAACTGCATACAGCTTAGTGACATATTGACGGCTGCCTGCACACCTGCTACTTTGCAGACTCGTCCGCATCCGACGCGTCACTCGACCGATCAATACTTAAGCGCCGATCCAATTCCGCGTCAGATATCATGCTTGATGTGGTACTCTTTATCGGAGCAGCCAGCGTCGCTGAATCTGATGTCGCTGTTGCACGTGCATTACCAGCAGAAACACATCCTTCACTACAACAGCGACCCCTTGGTGTAGGCGAGCTTTCTTCTGCTTCGGTAGAAACGACGGCATGAGAAATGGTCGGCAATGCTAATTTGCTCTCGGTCGAGTCTGGTACGGAAGCTGCTTTGTTGCTCAAGATAATACCAGTCCCTTCTGCTGACGGTAACGACATTGCTGCAGGTCGCTGGCTGCCGTTTGTTGCTTGCTTGCTGGATCGTCTGTATCGAGCGTACAGCTTGAGAACGAGATCAACCATGTCACGTTTCTCAATACACGTAACATCGCTGTATCCAGCACGATCGATACACAGCTTCAGCTCCTTGACCGACATCTTGTGCACAACCTCAATCGAAACACCTAGCTCTAGTGGATTCTTGTATACCCGCGATGATCTGTAGCGCACGGGAGGCACCTTTTTATCCAATGTTTTCGATCGCGTTTGCCGTCGTTGTGCTGGCGGCAAATCAAATGTCGACAGATCGTCTGGCAACGGCATCAGTCCTACCATTACTCGCAAAAACTGCAACGCTTGGATAAAAAAGTTGAATGGGCGCGGACTGTTGTGGCCGCCTGGGAACTTGAACAACTGATTCGGGCCGCCGTGAAGCCTATATAGCGCTTCAACGTGGTGTGGACCAACCAACTCGTCTTGCAAGCCCACCACAAAGAAAGCAGGAACCGTGCACTTGTTAATCTTGGCGATCGGCTTCAACTTGAACATGTCAAACTTTGCCCGCTTCTTGATATCGCGTCGTATGAGTCGCATGACGAGCCTCACTGCAATCTTCGGCACGCCAAGCTTGCCATCTTCGACTAACTCGGTGGCTAGCTTTGGCAAACTCGAGAATGGCGAGTCTAGTACCATCGCACTCACGAACGAATCGGACTCTGCATGAAATAATGCGGCGACAGCTCCCATACTGCGTCCCCATAGACACAACTTCGACACTTCTTTGGTCTTGGTTACGTACTGCACTGCCGTGGCAATGTCGGTCTGTTCATGGTACCCAAGCGAGACGTACTTGCCTTCAGACAGCCCGGAGCCACTGAAATCCAGTGCAAAGACTGTAAAACCTGCTGGCAGTGCATACATGACGATCTCAAGAGCGCCTAGCCGACAGGAACTGTTGCCATGCAGCACCACAATACACGGACGGCGCTCGTCTTTCTGCTCAGCCGCTTGTCCGGTCTTGGACTTGCAAGGCTTCCACCAGCTGCACTCGAGCGTCAAGCCCGCTGGGTTCTTGAGCTTGAGGTCCACGCGCTGCACCGAAACACCTCCGATTTGTGCGTACCTTGGTCCGAGCTCCGACGCGGCGTATTGGGCCCTCAATGGGCGAATCACTGTACACACGAGACCTTCGTACCCTTCTTTGATCATGGACCACATGCCCCGGCGATCGCTTGCAGTGGCTAGAGCAGTGACAAACGAGACAGATAGGGATACAGTGTCAGTGCAAAGGTTAGCCGTGGCAACACAGCAGCACAGAGAGCGCTGGGCGCAGTAGGGGAAGAGGAAGAGCCTACCGCAGTCGTCCATCAAGACGTTATTTTTTATTTTTCGTGCTGGTGTGAGTTTGTCGCTGTGGGTCGTTGTTATCTCAGTACTAATTATCAGCGAAAGCGCTCTTCAGGTGGTCCCCCTCTGGTATGTGTTCAGTTCACGTTTATGGCCCCTCACGAGATATTCAGTTCCGAACGCAAAAGCAGGACAAGTTGTTGCTGTGAACCCATGATGCACAACCACACCACTTGTTCACTTCAACGTGGTAGCAAAAGACCTTGCATTGCATGTAGCACTAGTAGCAGCTTCTTTAGCGGGGCTGCTATATCACACGCATCCACAAACGCTACTGCTTCTCGCTCTATCACGAGAGCAGACAAAACGACGTTTTGCATGGCTTACACAAGCGGCTTTGGCGCAGCTTTCAGTGCAGCTGTTGCAGCTTTCTTGAGTGGCTTGGCAAAACTGAGCGTGTGCTGGGACCACAACGTGGCTGTGAGCAGCACAATCGCACCGCATTGGTGCGAGATAGCAAGCGGGATTGGCACGCAGTTGACCAGCGTCGTGATGCCCAGTAACACTTGACCGCTGACTGCAGCGAGGGCCATGTTGAGTGCGTGACGCGACTGTGGCGGCAGTTGGTTCCAAATGTGCTGGCGACGCGCCATTGCGTACACAGCAGTAAAGCCTGCGAGCGTGCTCAGTGCGAGGATGCGGTGGTCGAGCTGCACGAGTGGCACGTTCTCGAAAAAATTCCTGTACTTGGGCTCCATCACAAACACGTCGTCCGGGATCCACTGGCCGTCCATCTTTGGAAAAGTATTGTAAGCCATCCCGGCATCAATGCCTGCGACAAACGCCCCCGAGATGATCGTGTAGCCGAGAACAGTAGAGACACGACCCAGGTTCTTGCGAATGCGCGTCACTTGCTTCAGCACGTCGGGCGAGATGATCTCACGCGTCATTGCTACGTGCGACGGAGGGGCTACAAGCGTAAAGCCCGTCCACAAGAGAACGCCCAACGTCGTGAATGCAAACGCCAACTACCACCAAACAATCGACAAGCAGCCACAACACAGAGCACGTGTGACGACCTAGCGGACGACGAGTCAATGCTACAGCGAAAAAAAGCAATGACGTACGTGCGTGGCAAGACGGTATGGGCTGACGCGCACTTCATTGCGCATCTCCAGCTGCTCCTTCCCATGGTCCTCCAGCCCACTGCGTACCATCCACCAGCCTACGAGTCCCTGCGTTGCACCCAGCGTAAACAGAGCACCAAAGCGCTTGTACAGCTCTCTTGGCAGTTTCTTGCGGAGCATAAAGTAAACCAGCGGGACAGTGTAGACGAGACCCACTGTTCGGCCAAGCATTCGGTGACCGTACTCCCACCAGAATATACGCTTGAACTCTTCCACCGTCTACGTCACACGTCACAGCCGCGATCACCAACAGCTCCAGAAACAGCACAAGACATCGGACCATTGCCACATTACAGAGCCGTACCATATTCTGGCGCTGCTGATACTCCGGGAACTGCTTGTAAATAGCAAACTGCGCTTCCCATTCGTCCGGAGACAGGGGCGGCAGGCTTCCCTGTGGCTTCCATTGCACCATGGACAACCCAGACCTCGTCAGACGTGTTGCACCACCAACAGCAATCATGCCGCCGACCAGCGCCGCTGTGCCAAAGATCCAGTATGCAATCGGGCGGTTGGCCACCACATTCTCAATTGTGGCCGTCGAGGCTGCAAACTTCTGCACACCAATTGCAGACACACCCGACAACAAGCCCATCACTCAGTCCAGCACTCAGGTCTCCATTGACTACCTCTACATCATCCCATCCACACACGAAAAGCATTGTGCAATGTACAGACAAATTCCACGACGAACCCGAGCTTTCGTGGAATAAATGAGCGCCCGTTTGTTCGTCTCGGTCGTCGCAAGACCGAGACGTGACCCCAAGGACGCAGACTTGCGCGGTGGAGCAGCCACCAATGGCTTCACCAGCGTTTGGTACCGACCGCCACTCAAGCCAAAGCCACTTTTCTGCACCATGATACAAAAGTCAACATTGTCGTCACAGCCGTTAGCGATATGGGAACAGTATCATCAAAAAGCAATTGGACATTATGCCACGCATGACGAGCAACGTACAGTGACAGCAGCGCGATAACCCGTGAAGACGTATGCACGTTGCTGTCGAGCTGCTCGGGCCAACATAAGCATCCAGAGCGCTCCTCACTGATGAGCGAGTCGTTTCTTATCTCGGAAGTCTCGACGTCGTTTTTTGCTTAGCTTTTGGCAATTGAGGTCAATGGTCAAGAAATACTGTGCGACTTCTACCGTTCGATCGGACTCGTTTGCGTTCGTGAGAAAGCAGATGGACGGACTTGTGTGCGTGCTCTTTATCCACCAATGACACGCTGCGACTGGGCTACTGTTGTTGGACAAAAAGTCTACTTCGTTAGCGTGCTGAGGTACAAGACCAACAGTGTGCATTGTTTTCGAAAGCTGTGGATAAAAGTGTAGTTTGCGGCTCGGTGCACGTTGTTGTAAGTCACGCATTGCTTGCAAGTCAAGGCATGACTGGTGCATTGATGATTGCTATCGCCAATGTCGTCGATGCGTCTGCGAAGCTGGGAATAGTATCGTATCGTGCGCTTTTTCGATCGCTCGGTCGCCACACATCGACGACCTGTGTGCTTTCGTATATATGTTGGCCGTGGACGGCTCGATGCTGACGGTCTGTGACAGTGCTTTGCAGGACATAGAACGTTGATTGCTTACTCAATCGTGATTTGAGTGAGCAAGTTTGCATTTGACAAAGTACATGACCAACGCTCTGCACCAGGATGAAGAAGGAAATGATGTCGATTATTTTTAGCTGGTGAAGCCACTATCTCAAGAAGAGATCTGGAAACAGGACTCGTACGATGCAGACCTGACAAATCCCCTATGGCCACACTAAAAGCTGAAATCAATCGCGTCTTGATGTGGCCGTGCGTTGCAGTGTACACGAGGAAGGATCGACGGAAGCAGCACTCGCAAACTTCTAATATCCGGCTGTTCGTCCACATATTCGACCCATACATCTATGCAATGTACGATGAAAGCGGTAGATCACGTCAAACTATCGGGAGTCTATTTAGTTCAATCCAGATTACCGTGCGCCTAAAAGCAAAGAATCGATGTTCGACAAAAGAGTGCATAAAGTGGTGGCTTCAAAGCCGTAGTCATAAGCGGAACACCGGGTCGACACATCGACCAGCACCTGACTTCTGTGGTTTAAAAGCGACCTTCATCGCGACAAATATACCAAGCTCTTTTGGTTAACTCGAGCACAATACTCGATAAAGAAAAGCGTCGTACCTGCACATATTCACAGTTTTCAGCTCGAGCTGAGATGTACTTTGTATGCTACGATGTTAACGAATGTATGTGAAGCAAAGACGAAAGGATCGCACCTACCAGACCCAATGCTGTGTGACAAAAGACAACATTGCTGCACGTGATGATCCCCTTCGTAGTTGTAAATTATGAGCCCGCTGACGGTAGTCAAAGACATATCCATCATTGTTTACCGTCAGCTGTCTGATGAAAGTACTCAGAAATCATATCGTTCGTCGTCCCGGTATGTAGCAAGCGTCATGCCTGCAATTCGAGATCCCAATGTCTGTGCGACATAAAGTATGCTTACGTCGATGCGGTTCGTATGTCGTCGTTACCTAAACAGAGTGCACTGGATAAGCCATACCATTGGGTCATTATATACGACGTAGGTCATAGTGCCCTAAGCAAAGAAGTATAAGAACTGAGTCTCGTGATAGCGTCGATTGCAACAGTGCCTTTCTACTTCTGAGGCGGATGTTGTCGCGGAGCTTATGGTAGTATCCTTGAGCCGCTAGCGTGAGTGCAATTTGTACAATTGTAGACGCTCCAGCGGTGACGATAGGAGCGAGGGCCACAAGCAAAAAGCATACTTCTATGATGAGGGCTGCGCTCGCGTTACAATCCTTCATTTATCGAATTGGTACAAGAGTCACGTGTGCACGCCACGCTCTTTTATTCAGGAAAGCATTCATGTACTGCACAATGTTCCGACGGACGTACTTCTTACAATGGTAGTGCAGGGCAGATCAACAATTTGAGAGGCGCCTCTTTACTTCAAGTGTTTGCTGGACAAGATGAGACGCGGGCAAACCAAACGAGAGCGTGGTGTGCGGCACCAGCATTTGATTATCATAACCATCAGCGAAAGACGCGGAATCGATACGAGTGAACGACAAACGCGGCAAGTCCACCATCGTCTCATTGCGTATGTTAATCCACGAGAAACTGCGTACGATGGAAAAAGCTGTCGGTTGTTTTCGAGTGAATTCCATCTCGATTATTTCGGATCCACATTGCTATGGCAAACACGTAGCGTTGTTTCTCCATAACATTTCGTTGCTGTCGATCCTACAGAGACAATAAATAAGAGCGATTATGTTGTGAAGTGACTGGCATCATAGGCAACTACATGCCACGAGTAAGCACGGTCGTTACAAACAAGACATGCATTGCATTGCACTGTTCTCATTTTGACGGTTGACACTACCGACAAATTCCAGCTTGGCGAAGTGGTCAAGGTTTAGTGTTGCAACAACTATCGAGAGACGACATCAACGTCGTTCAATAGCGGTCCGCTGAACTATGTATTGTAGCATTTTTATATGCGTTTCTTGGTGACTTTAATTAGCAACTTCGATCACTTGCAATCCACCACGGTCGATACCTTTCAGCAGCTATCGCGCAGTCATCTTATTGCGCGCAAAACCTCGACTTTGCCCGTACATCCCGTTTGTTCTCACATTGCAGCTCAGACGGCCACTTGGGTTCGTAGCCCCTATTTGGTTGTATCAAAATCTCAGAAAAGTTGATGCAACCTTTATTCGACTTTGCCAGACGTCGTTATAGCCTGTTGACATCACGACAATAGCAATACGTCTCGACAGCTATGCCCGTGAAACTCACAGCTCGACACTCCAAACCCTCCGGCTTCTACACTGCAGTTTCATACCAGCAGCATCTTTCCAGCGCATTCGACTTGCTATCACATTCGAAATTAAACAACAGCCGGGTATCATGGCAGCTATAACAAGTCGTCGTAGGACCAGCGATCAATCCGATGATTGAGCAACTCGGCAATCGAGAAGCTCAATCTAGACCGTCCGTGGCGCTCCATTGTCACTCGATGAGGCTTGGCGTCCCCTGATCTCTTACGACCAAAAACAGTCGACTGCTTACACTGTTTCAACCGTGTTGCAATATCATCACATTCGCGATCCGGTGTCCACGTCTTAGCTGGACGTGATGGAAGATACACTCGGAAAGATCGCAGCGCCGTTCCACATCAGTCGGATGAACGAGCGCCGACTCCCAATCGATGGGTACTCGTGACAACCTTCTCGCGTGCGATCTGCAAGCACAAATGCCACTCTATCACTATGGATCTCTGTGCGGACATTCCATTTGCGAAGCGCCTTCTTCGGGTCTTCACCGTCATTGTTGGCTTCAGAAGCACAGCCTTCGTGCATGCTGTCCGTCATCGCGCTATGCGCAGCAGAAAGCACTTGTAAGCGTCAGTCGTGTACCGATCTTACATGCGACTTTATCCAGCAGTCATTTGTGCATTTATGAGCGTCTGCACTACTTCGATAGGTCTCAAGCGATACTGACGGACGTTCGCTTAGGCAGAAATGCCACTCGCGTGGTTGAAAGGTGTTGTAGCGTATCTTGCTGGCCGCTTGTCGAAATTGGCCGTGCATTTCTGGCCGACTCGATTGCCTTGCACGCATTTCCCTGCTCATCATTGAACCTTGCAACACGTCTTGGAACGTCCGTCTTCGCGCGGGATTACTCATGCAACACTCGATCCAGGCTGTCGACTTCCTTCACACTCTCACTCCAGTGCAACATCCTACATCATACGCACAGCTTGTATTTATATAAAATATCGTCTCGCACCAACGCCAGACCTTCGACTGCTTTGCTGCAACAGTCCTGCTAGCCCCTGCTTGGACTCGACACACACGTCCCCGCTGTCCGACTTTCACCTCACCTCATGCAAGCCCTAGCTTCTCCTTTCCAAGCTCGTAGCAAGAAATCATGATCGCACACGACGGTGCGACCCGTGCGAGCCGTGCCCCAAGTCCCGTAAACGCGCCACCCACGCCCTTGTTGGCCACCACTTGTCGCAGCACCAGTGTCCCAGACGGCTGCGAGCCCTGTCTCGTCGAATGCACTTGCTGCAGCGTCTTGACCACGTCGAACGGAGTGGTGACCGTCGCAGCGATCGCACCAGACAGTGCTCCGCAGACAAACGCCCGCTGCGTCCGCGAGACCTCGTGCTCGGTCGACTGAAGTGTCTGCTGAAGCCGCTCGTACGACGTCCAGTAGATGGCCGAGAACGGCACGTCGCGCGCCAACGTCGCGCCTAATCCATTCAAGAGCGACCTGTACCCTCCACGCCGCACCGCTTGCTGGAACGTTGCAACCACACCGGCGCCAGCGTTCGGCCCCTGCATCCGCATGCGGATCAGCTCAATGGGCGACGTCATGGACGCAGCAAGGAGCCGAGCGCTGGTCCCGGCCATCAACGGCACAATGGCGTCGAGCTGCGGGACCTGTGCCCGGCCTTCCAGCAACAACAGGTCGTACGAGACGTAGTACAGCACCGTCGACGGCACTGCAATGAGCATCGCGGGCGACAGCCCGGCAAACAATCCCGACAGGCCTTCGGTCTGGAAAATGTGCCGCAGCGCGTGCGACGTGCTCTCGAGTTGGCGCGGCGCCGCGGCACGCGCGCACGACATGCGCATGGCCGACAGCGCGTGGCCGCGGCGCCTCGAGACCTGCAGCTTCGCCACGGGCCGCGTGCTGCAGCGGTTACAGACACAGCGAGCGCGACAACACGGCGGGACAGCGGCCGTAGCGTCGGCCGCGAGGGCCGAGCGAAAGGCGACGGGCGCGCTCGAGGAGCGCCAGACCTGCGACTGGATGCGCACTTTGGCCACGTCGAGGGGCGTTACGAAGAGCGACGTGAGCAGCGCACCGGAAGACGCGGCGGCAGCTTTTTTGAGCGTGTCTTCGGTCTGTTGCGCTTCCATAGCGACGATCGACGCCGTCGGAGTAAGTTCCAAAGTGAGCTGCTCGGGCGGAAGGTGGCGGGCGGCGACTGGTTGAGTGACTGCTGGGTGCGGTGTTCTCCGTTTTGCACCAATGAGGGGCTGGTCGCGCTTCCTTGCGCCAATGAAAACCACGCGTTGACAGGATGGTGGACGAGCACCGTATCAAGAGGCTGCCGCCTGCACGATAGTGACGCGAGCTGGGACATGGCAGCGGTCCTTTCGAAAGCGCTTTGAGGGTGCTAATGTGAAGCGATCAGTCGCTTTTGTGTGTGCGACAGCTCTCCTTCTCAGAGGTTCCTGCAGTGTGTACATGCGATTGACGCATTCGCCATTTGGACGCGAGACTCGAGGCCCGACGAACGTTTGAATGGACGGAACGTCATGCACGAAACGCACACTTGATGACGTCGTGCTCCTGTTCAAAAAGAATGGCGAAGGAGCCGAACGAAAGTCAACGAGTGGTGAATCGGTCGACATTGATGTTGTTGTTGTTGTTGTTGTTGTTGTTGGATGGCCAACCTATGCGGGGGCTGGAAGGCCACATTGTAGAGGTGGAAGTCGGCAAGTGTATCAGCCTTCATTTGTTCATCTTTCTTACATCCAGGCACACGCGTGCTTTTGCCAACGACAGCAACATAGCTATCTTGCCGTAATGGGCCATCGATTGTTGTCTTGCTTGTTTTGGACGAAGTTTATACAACCAGAGCTAGTGAGGCGCTTGTACAACCGAAGACGGTGGTGCCAGGGTGCTCGTTATGGCTTTTCGACGAGGCAAAAAGTGCTAAACTGACGGCAATCGAACGCCGCAGCATTTTGATACAATTAATTCGGGCCACGAGTCCGAACATCGTCCTGATTGGTCTAGATAGAATCCAACTTCATTCAACAGAAAAGGCCCATTTGATTGGGTGAAGGAAAATCCTTGATTAGTCAATGTTTTGTGCGACAAAAGCCGTTTGGGATGAGAGGTTATCACCGCAGTACACTTTTTGAGGAATTATATAATGCACGATGCAATGACAAAAGCGAAAACACGTCCTGCAAGATGGAAAAAGACACAACAAGATGACAACGATATATTTCTCGCTACTGATGTATACTGTACGACCGTGCACACACATCCATGATCATGGACATGTATTCACGCATAACTTCTTCATTCACGCTCATTTTATTGTTTTAATCCTTTCACCTGTCGCCGGTCACGAAATGCATCAGGAATAGGTGGTTCGGCGCACCAAGTCTGACGCGACAATGAAGTTTTTGGTCCGATTACAAGGTCGCGTCGATTTATCTCTTATTTGAACTTAGTACGACATCGTAGTTGTAATTTTTCGCCTTGACGGTATCTCTACATTAACAGAGAATTTGCAGCACAATCTAAAGTGTCGTTTCATGTCGGTCTGGAGGATGATACAGGATGGTGTAGAAAAAACACAGGGTAGCATCAGACGGCTGCAAAGTTTGTAATATGATGCGATTCCGTTACATCATATGTGCTGCCGGAGCCGAAACCTCGATCGCTGGACCGCGTAGATAAATTGCCAACCCGTAGACGCCACAAGAAGGGCTTTAAATCCGCCCATTTCATTACTCCTTTTAATTTAATTTTCTCGACAGCCAGCAGCCGCAACCTAAAGCGTCGATGACACAGCCGGTTCTTAGAGGTCGAAGCGATTTTCATGCGTCTATCGGATAGCCGTAAAGCCATCCAGCGATGGATATCAGTGCAAGAGACTGACCGAAAGACACGTAAACTGCGTACTCAAATCAGATTGAGTGAGGAGGTTACCGACGAGTTTGAGCTTACCATACAACGGTGGAGTTCTGACGGTGTGGTCCAACGTTGGACGGATATCTTGATAAGTTACTGGGGGGTGGGCCAATTTCATGTCGTTGGCACGAATTGTGCTAATAAGAATATCATCTTATTTCGTGATATTTAACGATTTTGCTTTCGCCAGTCAATAATTGTTGGACTATTTTCTTTCGATGCAATTTACGGCGCTGCTTCACAATTTGTTGATATTGACCATGACATCAGCCTCATATACCACCAATCGCTGCTGGACGCGCGCAAGGGGTGGTGAGTGAGATTTTGCGTTGGAAGTTTGTAGTTTAATAAATGGTAAGTAAGAGGAAAAGGCTTTATTAACGAGGCTTACCAATATTAAATATACATGTTTATCTTCGTCTTTCCTTCGGAGCAACTTTTGCTCAGATTCTTCATTTCCTCTGCACGTACGGTGAACGTGTAGCTTTGGAAGCGCACACCCTTCTTTTTTACTGTAACGGTAAAAGGGCTAACCAGTTACCTAGTGAGAAGTGAGCCCCATTGCAATAATCGCCTTTACGTCGTTGTCAAATGCAATCAGCTCGAAGTTTGCGCGACATTGCCCTGTAGGAGCACTTTTTTCTCGCTTTTCTCTTTCTATATGGCGCTTGAATGACATATCTTACGATGCTTCTAAACGCCGAATGATGAATCATTTTATCAATTGTGAAAATTTTGTGCCTACAAATCATGCAATCCATGTCTTCGTTCCCTAAGATGCGCATTGTGGCTGCATGTTGACAGTTGCAGAATTGCTCTATACACGTTTGCATTGAAAAAATCTGACGTCACACGACTCTTTTGACCACAATGTTGATGCTCGATCTTTTCTCTAGATTTCGGCGTTACTTTGGGTCTAGGGAAGGCCATGCACGGCCACAAACGTTAATTTACTTCGCAATCTGTAGAAAAGCAGCATCGCGTGACTGTCTAGCGATTCTGCTATTAGGTCAGTCGATGTGGACTGTAACTAAACTGCTATTTACACGTTCGATTTCACTGCGACCACTGTTCGATTGATAGTAGCTGAAATTCACACGATACGGTTGTTCATCCTACATGGGGAAATTGTGAAATGGTGCGTCCTGCAGAGCCTGGCGCTTAAATTGCTCGAATAATGACTGAAAAGATGGGTCAATTTCCATTGCTGCTCGTTACTTTGGGAAGAGGTCTTTGGACCGCTGTTAGTATGCCTAATCGCTCGATCTCTCGTGGTCGTTTTAGTAAGCCGACTCGATAAGTATTTCAACGAGTTGCGCCATACTCAAGACCATGCAGTCCAGCTGGTTGTTGTCACAACGATTTTCGGTTCGATCAAAAAGCTCCTCGGTAAGCCATGACAAAAGCGACGAATCTCAAAGTACTGTGGATGTCTTTCATACTCAGCCTCAGCACACTGCGCAGCAACTCGGAAGTAGTTCTACATCTTTCATAGCATCACGTCCACCCTTATGGCGACCGTGTATTCCAAGTACAGCCAACGATCAATGTAGTGCTTACAAGGTGCGACGGTACAACCACTGCATTACAAGAAGCTGGTCTCTTCATCGCGTCCCTGTCCAACATTGTGTCAAGAGATGGGTGTATCGATCATCTTGCGAGCTCTTTAACGACAGCTACTGCGAGAACGCACCAAACGCTGATATAGCTTCTCGATCGGAAGGCCAAGACTAGCAGCATTCATCCATGTCATCGCTCTGCAAACAAATCTACATCGCGGATGTATCACTCGAGTTGTTGCAGAAACTGATATGAGTGAAGTCGATTGCCGAATACACGAGCAAGTGATATTGACAACGAGAGATGACTTCACTGGAGAGTCTTTCGGTCAGGGCACTGATTCTAGGTCAACACTCCTTCGAACGTAGAATACTATGAAGATTGGCGCAAAGGAAGTGTGGGTGAAGGACTTTGAGGGGGAAAGCGTTACTGTTGCAAGCGTTGTTCACCAGGTTCTTGTTGGTATGGAGCAAAATGCTAAGAGAATATATGCAGGCCCTTGGTTTGCAATCTCACGTGCTTGTCTAAGCCTACCAGAGCCATTGACTATGCAATATTAACAGCGCGTCACTAATCGTCTTATCGCGTATTACTAACCGCCACGTCGCGCATTACTAATCGTCTGATCGCGCATTAGCAATCGCCACATAGCACAATACTAGTTGTCTGGTTGTGCTTTACTTATTCGTCTGGACGTACTCTTAGGTTCCCGCTTGCATGCTGACGCGCCCCTTCGACAACCGGTAAAACCGACACTGGTGCTCACACAACGCCCGAAGTGTTGCGGTCGACGCACTTTTACTTGCACGCATGACACGGGGTGTTCGATCAGCTTTTCTTACGGGTGACACGAGGTGTACGATCGATGTCTCTCCATTCAAACGTCGACTGTGCACTTGCACAAGCCACAACAAAGGCCCGAAGATCAGCTACAGTCTGCTGCACAGTTTTCGTCCAGGCAGTTGAACAGGATTTCGGTCTGCCATTAACATACAGGCACGAAAAGATTATGAAGGCTCGCAGTGCACTTGGGTGCGACATTCCGGGGGCAGGTCTTATTTGCACACATTCGTCAGACTAAAGCAAACGACAGCCATATTATGTGCAGCAGCATGGCGTAGAATGAGCAAGCGATGCATCCTCAGGGTCCAGGCAACAACGCATTTAGCTAACTGAAACAGGTCGCGACGCTTGAGCAAAATCTCAGCCTATGAGCTATCCTCATCTGAGCGTAGAGATGACCATTGTGCCAGCTTCCTGGTAGAATGGCGGAAAACAACAGCGAAATAGATGTTTGTACACAGTCTTTCGCCTAAGGCTAGCAAGAGGATCGCGCGTAAGGCCTAATGTAAAGATCCTATCGGACCCGATCGTCCGGTCCTGCATGCTATTTCGTCCACTTGTTCATGATGTGTCTGTTTGCCTTGCCCATTGTAGATGGGACACTCCCTTTGCAACTCCAAGTACCACTCTCCGCGTATAGGCGCGTGCATGGTGCATTTGCTTGAACGTACGTACGTCTCTGCGACAGGACGCTCCCGAATACGAGATTTGACCACTAGTTGTTCAAAAGAGGCAGATTGCCATCTGATTGAGTAAAATGTGTACGCGTCCGCATACGCACTCTATCATGTAACCAGCGCCTTCGACTCGGACCATTTGATACCTTCCACTCGTTCCCACATGTACACATCCAATGTCGGTCTACAGATAACTGTTGCCGTTGTCGATCTACAGAGAACAATTATTGTTGTCGATCACGACAACCATTATCAATATCGACCATTGAAGAAGGGCTGATGGTGCTGCCCATTGATGACCCTGCGATGTCTCCATGACAGTGGTAGCCATAGACCGGCACAATGCCGCCAAGGGGGTAGAACTGATCCAATTCCAACAGGAGAATCTCCTCGAATGCTCGTATTGTTGTCCAGACTGGCTACTATCGCTCTTATCTTCGGATGATGAGTGGCGGGAGCTGTAAGAAACTCTTCTCGCTCTGATGACGACGCGCCTATGTAGCCGCGGTAGCCCTCTCCCTCGAAATATACGATCGGACGGTCGAGAGCACAGCCAAAGCAGCTGGTTCAAGGTGTCGCTGCTGTCATCTGCGCTCGGACAATGTGGCAGCATGGAATGCTGCTCTGCACCAGGTGCGTTGTCATATTTTTGGACGGGGGACGAAGTAGTGTGAATGTAGTCTGATGTGATATCGAAAGTCGATGTGCGGATGGAGACACACCAGTAGTTGAAAGTCGAAGCAACTCGCTCGTCGAGGCGGTTCGAAGGGATTGTGACTATTTGCTTGGCGGTTTGAAGTCATAGAGGCTATCCATGAGAGCGGCTCAAAATCACACACGAGAGGCCAACTATTTACGACCTCGTGGACTTGAGCTTGTTCATGCATTGCTGGATTTGTGCTCTTGAGATGGTGACCTTCCTCCTTCGACCGGATCGAATGAACGGCCGACATGTCACAGTGTGTTGCTACGAGCAATTCACCCTTTGCTCTCGAGAGTGGGTGTGCCAACTTGCAGTTCGCATTCTGCAATCAACAGCAAAAACCGCAGACCAAGGCAGATATGTACATCTACAGCGGACTCTATATCGCCATCGCTGCCGCTCTCTCCACCTCTGCCCTCAGTGAGACAGCAAGCACGGTTTGCCGGGGAAACGATCATTGTGAAGGTCGTAGTCATGATGAGGTTGCTGCGTTTTCTGCAACATGTAGAAAGCAACACCCTGATGCAACCTCATGGGATGACTGCTGCCTGGGGCAGTGTGCAACTGCGGGAGACAACACTACCACTGGCGCCGTGAGCGCGATACGTCGGCCGGTCATGTACTTCATAGGTGACTCGCTAACTGCACGAGGAACCAACCCTGGCAACCGTGGCTGGATTGCATTGATGCAGAACCGCTATGTTAAATCAGCTGACGTTGTGTCACGTGGGCTCTCTGGATACAACACCCAGTAAGTACCGGGCTGCTGCTGGAATGCATGACACACGTACTTCTTTCTCTTTCGCCTGACTGCCACCGTCTGACGTACATGACTTTTGTGTGAAGGTGGTTCATCGATACGGCGTTGCCGACAATTGAGAAGGAAGTTAAGGACCTGCGGTCAAATTCACTGATTACGCTGTGGCTTGGGACGAACGACGCTGCTCTCCCAACTAGATCGCATGCTCGCCAGCATGTCCCTCTTGCAGCCTACAAGAAGAATCTGATCAAGATTGTTCGCACGCTTCAGACCGCAGCACCTGATGCCGAAATTTTGCTGATTACGCCGTCGTACGTCGATGAAGCCACCCTCAAATCTCGCTCATCAAAGGGCTTACCAGAGCGCACAAACGAAGCAGCGGGCAAATACGCTCGAGCGTGCGTCGATGCAGGCAAGGAGCTGGGGACGCACGTGCTGGACTTGTACTCATTCTTCCAAACGTTGCCAGAGGCTGAACGTCCTGAAAATTTGTCGGACGGGTTGCATCTTAGCCGACGCGGTAATCACATAGTGTACGAGCAACTGCGGTCAAAGATCATCAAGGCGTTCCCTGACTTCGCCAAGCAGCTGGACGTTAGCCAGTTCCCTCCTTTTAGCGCGTTCACCGATGCTTAGGCGCTGAGGACCTACATCCGCCAAGACTCGTTCGCAATCGGCGCTGCTTGTGGACGTTGTGTTAACTGAATGCACTGTAATAGTTGGCCATATACTGCGTTTGTTCAGCTAGACCAGAAGATCCATTTCTGTAATCCTGCAGGCTTTTGATCGATTTTAACCAAGTCCTCTTTACAATGACGCCGATGCAGGCATGCTGCGCGAATCCGTGCTATCAAGTGCCGTTGCCTAACCCCAAAAAACGCAGATAGTGCCTCGTACGATAGCGCAGTGGCCATCTTGATCCGGGCTTTACAACGTGGGGGATTTCATCTCGCACAACTTTGTGGATCAAGACTAGTCTGTGTGAGTAGTATTGCTCTAAATCCGCTATCAGCCGTCTTGACTTGGGACCGCAACATCATGTTCGTTGCTATTTGTTTCGTGCCACTACCACGTTGTTAGCTATCTCCCTACGTCGATTTGGCAACGTAACTATCGTCACACCAGACAAATCCAGTCTTTATGTCCATGAGGCACAAGTTTTTCAGAATAACTTGTCCTTTGGATCTGTTGCATCATTAGTTCTCCTTTATAAATGCCAGTATTGTTGTGCGCGTCTCGCACTAATGAACGCCCACGTACGTGGTCTAGGCACAACTTGCATATGTCAGACAAGCTGAGCAAGACACGAGGAATAATGGTCGAAATGATGAAGCTGCATCGCGATACTTCTGCTCGCTGGTGCTTGCACGGTGTGTCGGGGTGAGCCCGTTACATAAAAATTGGTACGAATATACCAATTTTTGAATATTATCTATTTTGATGATATTTAATCAACATCACTCAAGGAGAGTTGATGTTTATCGAATGTTTCCTTCAAGACAACATTCTTTAAGTGATTCTTTGGCTGATTGATGTACACCGTACATCGACCATATTAAATACCAATCTCTGCTAGACTCGCGTAATGGGTGGTGAGAAATAAAATCAGATAGGGACTTGTAGTTTAACATAGTTAGATTTAGACAAAGGTAGTTTTGTCAACTAAATGAAATACTGTTCTACTATCACCTTTAACAGAGCTCGCGAGCTCTGTTAACTTCCTCGCGCTTCCTCACCGCCACGTGTACGTGACGTCGGGAGTACGCGCCCTTGCATTGTTATCAATACAAAGTCTAGCTCAGTTATCTGAGCAAGAGTGTACCGGGGCAGCCCGTTACATGAAATTGTCATTAGAGAAACAATGACAAAAAAGAATATTAAGTTGAATATTCTTTAAACAAATATCACCAAAGTGGCGATATTGGAGGGTCGACCAAAGAGTCTGTTCATTGGTTGATATCTTGATGGTATCAACCCACCAATCGCCGCAAGACGCGCGCAATGAGTGGTGACGAGACGTCACCATACACTCAGTTATATTAGCATAATTAAGTTAAGTCAAACAGAGAGACAGTAGTTAAAAGACTTAATTATATTAATATAAAAGTTCTACTTTTACCTTTTCTACCCTTCCTCGTATGCCTCGTGTACGTCTGTCGGAGCACCGATACCCTTGCGTTAAGTTCACGCAAGGGTGTGCCCCGTTACAAAGAGCGTGCCATGTTGCACCTGGTAGCACTTATTAGTCCTTCCAGCGGCCACAGCAACTTCATTCAACACGATCATGTTAGATGATGAGGAGATCTTTCACGTTACACGCGAAGGGTCTATCCATTTAAATGACATCGATTGCGCAGGAGAACGCATGCTTCTATTGTCGGCAAAACTGCTATTAGCGCCATGTTAAAGTCTCTAGATATAGACCAACAACATGCCGCTATAGCCAGGTTGTAACTGTAACGGGGCACTGTTGACTACGTACTAGTTGACCAGTACGTAGTATAGTTCCACTGAAGACAGTGGTCGACAGTTCCCTACTAGGTGTTGAAGGAACACAGAGGAAGGAAAGGAGACTCAGTAGCCAGACTAGTCTCTACTAAAAATAAAACTGTATTAATACAATTAACTCCTAAAACTCCTTTCATCTTCTGTTTTCCCGACTTAATTCTACTAATATAACTAAATGTATGATGACGTCTACTCACCACCCATTGCGCGCGTCTAGCAGCGATTGGTGAGTTGATAGCATCACAATAATAACCAATGAGTTAACCCTTCAGTCATCTCAGCAATATCACCATGTCTGTGATATTGTTGAAAGAATATTCAAAGTAATATTCTTTATTGTCAAATTATTATTATGACAATTCCATGTAACGGGCTACCCCGTTACATCACCCCTCCCTTATCTGATAGTCACCGTGTGACTATCGAAAACTTGGTGGCCACCCGTTGGAAACCAGTGGAACAGGGAGCAATTGTTTGGTCAGACCCATTCACTCCTGACCCTGCCTTGCATAGTCAACATGTCTATGCGAGGTGATTCGAAGATCACACAGCCTGCCGCTGTGCCAGCCTCTACGGCAGACGCTTCTTCGTCTGCTGCTTGCTCTCCGTCTGCAGCAGAAGGTGCTGCAGACGCACGCAGTATCGCACCACGTGCACATGATGACCTTGACAATGAGGTCATCATTTCTGGCGAGTCAGACGTGCCTGACTCGCACAACGTTCCAGAGGCATCCCGATCACCGGCGGTGCCTCTTCGTTCGTCAAGCGCACTGTCAAACGAGCGGACTTGTGAAATGCAACACAGTCCGTTCGGCAGTGATGACGAACTCTATGGTGAGGAATACTATGCCTCACCAGTATCAACTCGCGCTTCCCCGCAAGAGCGTGATGACGATGGCGAGAGCCGTCGTCATTCTGAAAGCCGTGTTACCGAAACAGGTACGACATTGAAGCGTGGTGAGCTCAAGCCGTGGCGCTTGCCCGACCAGCTCATCGATAGCCTGTCTCACGGCCAGCACCATCGAATTTCATTATTCGATGCAACTGAGCTTCATGGCTTGGGACCCATCGCGAGAAACTTTTGCGCTGAAGAAGACTTTTATCTCGATGTCTTCTTTAGGCATCGATGGTACAATGTCAACCAAAAGCGTGACAAGAACTCGCTTTTGGCAGCGTGGAACGCCTTCGTCCAAATAGTCACGAATTTTGGACGAGAAGGGTGGCTCAAGAAGCTTGAGGCGACACGCCTCAGGTTCCTAAAGCGAACGCCAACCGGTGCAAGGTACCGGTTGCAATGTTTGTCAAGTGAGGCCGTCATTCCATGCCTCACTTGGGGTGACCCTTGCGAGAGCTGCGTCGACAATTCGCAACGTGCACATAGGGACGTGTATTCCCTAAGTTCGCCCTGGGGAAGGGTACACATCTCGGCTGAGATGCGGGACGCAATTGCAAACTTGCAATCCGTATACAAGCGCCAAAAGCGCGTGTTTACCGATGAGCCCTCGGACCAATCGGATGAGTCTCGTCATACTGGTGAACGAGACCTTCAACGTCAGCCATCAGCTGAGAGCGAGGTTCCCAGCTGTCAAAGGAAGGTGAATACCCACGCCACCGGACGAGGTAACTCGTCCTTGATTATGAATCGCCACGGTGGTTCAAGATACGCTCCACAAGAAAGCGTTGACCACTGTGGAAATCTACCAGTGGTTCCGGTGGCGGTGGAAAGGCAAGGTCCGGCTCAGCCGCCGGGCCTGCACGGGACTTTGGGTAACCCGTGGAGTCGAAACACAGTGTCGATGAAGACACGCGCACATCCGTGGTCGTTGATCAATTCTGGGACTGCAGCAAGATGTACCATCTTGCTGAAACGATCCACAAACACAAGAATACCATTATTCTTGTTTTTGTCGTCGGGAAACCCGAAGACAAAGTCCATGGACACGGACTCCCAACACTCTGCTGGGACCGGCAGAGGTTGTAACGGTGCACGGGATGAAGGACTAGGCTTCACCCGTTGACAGACCTCGTAAGAACGAATGTACTTCCGGACAAACTGATACTGGTGTGGCCAGTAAAATTCACGACTTACCGTGAGGTAAGTCTTTTCTCGGCCACGGCGCCCGTCAGACGGCGCATCGTGATATACAAACATGATGCGTAACCGCAAGTCATTAAGATCGGTAACGAAGACACGAGGCGTGTCGTTGGCAACTGCTGTATAGTACAGCAGGCCATTGCGAGTCGTGTACCGATCCAAAAAGGAACCGTACAGAGCTGTCCAATCCGAGAAGAATTTCCGGGATGGGTTCGCAAGATGATTCATCAAACGTAGGAGATTCGTGTCTTCTGCGTATGCTTTCCGCATGCCGTCTAGTAAAGGAGGCGACAACACACTGATGGACAGTGTCGCAACAGTGATCAAAGCGTCACTGTTGACTCGGGACGTTGGCTCGAAGTCGGTTCGACGTGATAACGCATCACCGACGACATTAAGTCGTCCTGGCTTGTACTCCACGGAGAAGTTATACTCCGCGAAGAAAGACAGCCACCTCTCCATTCTTTGCGAGAGGTGTGGGCTGTTTACAACCATGCGTAGTGACGCATGGTCCGTTTAGACGATGAACGGTCTATCTACCAATAGATAGACCCGGAACTTAGCCAGTGCATACTTCATGGAAAGGAGTTCCTTGTCACGCACTGGGTAATTGCGCTCAGCTGCTTGCGGCTGGCGCGACTGATAACAGACTACGCGCTCCGCGCCATCTGTGTCGAACTGCATTAGCGCTTAGCCGATTGCAAAATCGCTGGCGTCACAGACCACATGAAATGGTCTGTCCTGATCTGCAATCGCCAAGATCGGCGATTGCATCAAGCTCCGCTTGATACCTTCAAAGGAACGCTGGCACTCAGCGTTCCATGACCACTTGACATTTTTCTTGAGCAAGCAAGAAAGATGAACAGTCATCTCGGCGTAGTTGCGCGAGTACTTGTGCAAGTACGCCGCAAGACCAAGGAACTTCCTTAGTCCCTTGACATCGACTGGCACTGGCCAGTCGGTGATCGCCTTGATCTTTTCGGGATCAGGGCGTACGCCGTGTTTACCCACGATGCACCCAAGAAGTGGTATT